TATTCTGCACAGGGGCGACACCGGTGGAGAAGGCAGGAGTGAAGGTAACTGCTCCAAAAGGAACGCGGTAAGCAAGGAGAAGGACAGGGACCACAGGGGAAGTTCACTGGTTCATCCTCTCCTTGTCTCCATGCAGGGAAGCTGGTGAAGAGTGGCAAAGAACAGATCACAGAGAGGCAATGAAGACCAGACGCGTGCATGACCGCGTGAACTGAAAACCGTGGAGAAATGTGGTGACCAGTCCAGCGAGTGTTTCGTGGGCACGGCACAGAAACCGCTGTCAGGTAGGGGAATGCCTCCCATGCCCCGCTCACCTTCACCATCTCGTCGGATGGGTTTGCTTTCTCTCTGCTTTCCACACTCGCTCTGCCCCCACTCACCAAACTCCCTTGAGCCAGAGAAGGGGCTGCTGAGCCTGCGTCTCCCTCAGCCCCACTGTTACTGATACTATGGGACGGCCAACCCCGAAATTTGTGAGTACTCTGGGGTCCCAGAGAAGGGCAGACACAGCTCCACAGAACACGGTGCCTTGCAAGAGCCCATGCTTCAGAATGGTTTACATCTGTAGCCCCTAGTCCTGCACAAAATTCCTAAGACAGATGAAAAACGTTTTGTGACCCAATCATCACCTGTTCCTCTGTTCTTCGGAGAGGACATACTGTATTTCAGCCGTGTGATAAATATCTACGATACTGGTGTTACTTGTCTTCATGAGGCATCTATCAGTTTTCTGTTTCTTTGGGCAAGATTCCTTTCCTTTTTAACTTCCTCTCCTTTACTGCTTTACAATCTGCAATGGCTTCATCCCTGAACTCCTTCTGGAGGCTCTTCATGGCTCCCGTTAGAAATCCAGGCTTGTAATTCTTTAGGTTGGAAGTACTGTCTAGTTTGCCTCTGAAAAGCTCTGCACAACACAGCTTCTTTTTCTAAAATAGGAAGCTCTTCTAAATCAGCAGTGCTGAGCTGCTGAAGGAAACGCCTGTGAGCGACACAGCTCTAAAACTGCACGTTCCTCTGCTGCATTTAAAAAGCACTGAAGCGAAGCTGATTCTTAGCGCCGTCCACCTAAAGTTTCACCAAGATAGGTCCGTATGGCCTAGGTGGGTATTTCAGACAGAGACGGCTTCCTAGACTGAAGTTAAAACCTGCACAAAACTGCTTTGCAAACTCCATAAAGGCTGACGTGACTATAAAATGTGACATAAGGACATGCCCATAAGGATGCACATTTTTCATTCTGTTTTAATTAACATGATGCTATCATGTCTCTTCAAAGACAGGCACTGTTGTCGCTGTGAGTTCCTCTGGGATCAAGCCTCTCCGTAGCGTCACCATTGTCAGCGCATTTGGCTGGCCCGCAGTTGGGGGACTTATGTTTCACTGTAATTTCTTCCAAAACATTCAGAAAAGGCTCTCACTCTCTCCTTCTCATTAGCTTGATGGAAAGAGCGTGTCTTCAGGGAGCTATTTCGAGTTCCAGGCAAACGGAACCACTGAAAGCTGTTCTTTCATAGGCGAGGTCAGAACGGTTCGATATGGCAGAAAATTTTACAAGGCTTATGTCACTGGGAAGGAAGCACGCGTTATGCCCCTGTGTTTTCAGTGCAGTTCAGAAGTCTTTGCTTCCACCACTTGCAGCCTCAGAGCGCCTGTGTTTGAGGGAACTGCTATCTCCATACTGTACCAACCTCCATCCTTTTAATTCCTCCGACTCCTCGTCCACCATAGTAGGAAGCATCCACTGTGGGCCATTTCTTGGTAGGCAGGGGGTCTTCTTCTTCCTCCTGTCAAGAAATTCAAAGAACATTTACTTAAAAAGACAGGTTTTTTCTTCCACCAAGTTCTTTTAGGATATTTCACTAGAGTTCACAGAGAATAAGTTTTCCCGTGTTAGGTGTGAAAGATCAGATATTTGGGTCCCCCAGGTGTTTAACCATTTCTAAACGCATTCTGGCCATGTTTGGAAATATTGTTACTGTTTTCTCTATTAGGAAGGTCCAGAAGAGGAACGCAGCTGTGCATGGATTCAGCAGGCGGTGCTGAGCAGATCTGCACGTAGGGGTTATGCGGCCGATCGCAGTTCCCTAAGCCAACCCTTGTCAAAGTCGCTCTGGGCTGCCCCGGCTCAGCCCAGTGCACCTCACCACGGACTTAACTGTCAGAGGCACCTGAGTGCGCTCAAGCGATGGGGCAGATCAAGGCCGGGACAAAAAACTGTAGACACCAGAAGATCCTCTGGTGTGTTACTGCCCGTAAGAGGGAGAGAAGTTCCCTTATAAGGCTGCTTCAGTGTCTGGAATGCCGCAGCTGGGGGCAAACGCGGTTAAGTCGCACACAAATCTTTAGGCTGTTAGACAAGAGCTATTCAGTCTTTCTGCTTTTGCTGCAGAAGGGGAAAAATAATGTTCAGCTATCTTGGGATAAAGGCCCCAAATATTTCTGTGAATTTGTGCTTAAGCGACTTGATTCATGCCGCTCTGAGAGGACGGAGACGGAGCAGAGATTTGGACTTTGGCCATCCCGCTCAGCCAAAGGCTTCCCACGGGGCAGCGCTTTCTTGTTGAGCAGCAAGGACAAAGAGCCGGATTCACGGCACGCAGGAAGGCACGCAGGAGGGGTAGCGTGTAACCCGCGTGATGAGCGCAGCACCGCCGGACCCTACCTCTTTTGGAGCTGGCGGAGGCGGAGGGGGATCTTTGATGACCTGAAAAAGTCAAACATACGAAAGTGTAAGGAATTGCACAGGCAGCATCCAAAAGCCAAGAGAAAATTGTAAGAGCGAACCGTTTCCACACGAGTCCCCCACATCTGCTTGCAAACTGGCAACCGCTGCTGCCAGGTCCCTTGGGCATGGATTATCAAGGCCTTCTGGAAATTAACACCATCCGTCTGATAGCGAATCACATCCACTGACTGGCAGACACTCTTTGGGCAGACGCGTCTGCCACTTCGCTTCCTGACCGGATAGCGCGCAGTCGTTCTAAGTAATAGCAGTGCTGCAGTCCTATGGAGCTCGTTAGCGAGCCTCGGAGGAAAAGCTTCCCGAGGTCTGCGCGAGGTCTTGCACAGTCTCGGGCCGGGCTGCCTGGGTAATTCCTGGCCCGGTGACAAGTGTGAAATGCCTTCTGGTAGCTCAGGCTTCACCTCTAGACGTCCAGATCGGGTCCGGAGATCTCACATTGCAGATCTAATAACTGACGCGTGCAGCTCCTCAGCTGCTCGGTGTGGAGTTAAATCCACAAGGCTTCTCAAGCGCCTTCCGGAGAAGGCCGCCCTTGGGATAATTCACCTACACCTGCACTTTAGCCTCTACCTGCACTTCCTCCTGTGCTCTCTGCCATACAGACTGGAAGTCTCGGGGCGTTCCCTGCCACTGACGGGGATCCACTGAGCAGCACAGGGAGGGAAGAGGAAGCAGCGGCCCTCTGCAGCGACTGAGGTGGAAACTGCATGCACAGGCGTCTTCCATGAGAAAAGCAGCTTTGTGGGCTAAAAATAAGTACTTCTGTGATTTCACGTCATTCTTTGTGCTTAAATGTTGTGTAGAAATGTCTGGAAAATGCCCCATGAATATTAAGGAGCCTGTTTCTGCAACGCCTTAGTGTTATGCAAATGTAGCCAAAATTGTCACGATGACAAACACCTACATCTCTTAATACAGGATTAAGTACCTTAATTGAAATATGTATTTTTTTATTCACCAGGTGCTATTAATTACAGTGCTTTCATTTACTCTACCACTGCCTATAAATAATCTGTCACTCCACAGACGTACAGCATCATACACAATAGAAACATATTTTTCTTGACCAGTAATCAAGAGTTTCCCTTTGCTATTTACGTTTCAAGTCGCAGTGCCACCAACACAGTGAGGAGTTACTGCCTAAACAAGCCATGGGCTTGTAGCGCTGGATACTGGAATTACATTGAATAAGCAAAGTAAGTTATGGCACCGTTTTTCCACGGCACTTTAGGTTTACGATACTGAACTGCGCATCAAGCAAGCTCAGAGTACTTCGAGTGGATTGGAAAGTCAGCCGTGGGTTTTGATCAGACACCGTAAGGGTCACCTGATCTTAGTTAATGCTCATTTCCCCTTTGCCTGTCTCTAATAGTTACCTCAAAAAACCGTATTTTGCTGCTAAGACAGCAAGCGGGACAGGAGGAAAGGCCTAGTCAGGTTTATACAAATACATACTTAACCGGATTGCCACTGCACTTTTTAGTTCTTTGATTCTTAAGTCTCGTGGTCTCTCCCAAGCAAAGCCAACCTTTTAAACTTACCTGTGCTGCACACTCAGGTTCTCTTGGGCCCTGCCCCTGTTGGTATTTACAGAACCACCATTTCCACCCCAGAGAATCAACAGAACCTCCGCTCGTCGACCTCCCCGGGCTTCAAAAGTCCCAGCCCAGTGACAGCTCCTGTTGGACTCCCCAGACACAGGATCTGATCCCATGCCAGCTGCTGAACTCCCTCACGTTACCGGGTGAACCTGATCTGAAGCTAACCAATACATTAATTAGCCGCTATTTCTAATAGCTCCAGAAAGTGAAACTTGTTTTAAATGTGACAGTGGTGTGAGGAAATAATCTGCTTTGAGTAGCAGATACTCACCCCTGCTGACAGCAGTGGAATGCAAATGCCTGCGTCCTTCTGCTTCCACAGGCTCCTCACACTCACACGTGCACACACAGATTATTTTCAGTCTTGGGTGGTATTTCAGTGAAATCAGTACAAAGCCACGTTTAAAAAAGAGAAATCCAAGGAACCCGTGCAGCTTTGGCAGAAAGGGATGCAAATGTCGCATGAAACTGCACATACCGAAGATCGCAGTATTGCAAATTAACTTCTCCTGAACTTGATTCGGAGTGTTAGAACACAGAAGACTGAATAATGCTACTGTTTTATTAGCCTCACGTAGAGATAGATTACTTCCTAATTTTGTTGTGTTTGTTTTATCATCATCATCCCCAGGCAAGGCCGAATCTCGTCTATTTAGCTGCAAAGAATGAAGACTCAAGTTTGGAGGAGAGCCGATTTCTTAAAAAAAAGAAGTCAGTTGCTTCAGGCAACAGTCCCTTTGATCTGCTCATTAACACTTCTCAAGTGTTCGCGTGATGTGGGCATTAGGAAATGTCAGCACCAGAGCCTGAAGCCAGCTTGATGCGATCATATGTTCCGATATTGAGGAAAGA